CAATTCAGTGACATGACTTCCCTCAAGTGCTTCTGCTTCTTTGTAAACAAAATAAAAGTGTTTGAATATGACGTCAAGAACAGTTTACCCAACATAAGAAAAAATACAGCTTTTTATGGTAAATTTTGTTGTTGGTGCTAAATTTATAATAATAAATGTTATACAAAAAGTTCAAATAAATTTTATTCATTCTACCTGGTTTTGGTGCTGCTTTTGGTGATAATTTTTTGGGGGTATTTTCTTTTTTTTGAGCGGTAACAGGTTTTTGTTTTGGTGTTGTTTTTGTCTGCACTTTTTTTGGTGTTGTTTTCTTTGGCGTTGGCACCCAATCATCCTCCTCATCATCATCCATCTCTTCCGATTCTTCCTCGCTCTCTTCATCACTAGGAGCATCTCCTATTCTGTAACTATGGTAACAAGAGATAATTGGAATTAGAATGTGGTGCAACACTATAAAGGAGAGGGGTAGTCATGCCATGCATGTGTGAGATTTGTGTTGATATTTTTTTCTTGTACTCGCTGTGCATCACTCAAAGTCGCCATCTTTTTTATAGAGAACCATTTCTTGTGCATGCATAATCAGCATTTTTATAATCATAATTTTAATCAGCACAACTTCTAAACGAAACATTTGTGACAATTTTATTAATATTATTACAGTCCAATCAAAAACAGGTCTTTCTCCCTCAGTGATAAGTGAACCTCTGGTAACAAAGAGTCATGGGTTTAACATAAACGTCTGCTGAAAAACCTCAATAGCCAAAGTAGATGAGAACCTCACAGTTGAAATAGCTTCACTGTCTTAGTAGATTGTCTTTCTCAAATGTTTAAAATATTCTATAGAATGAGATATTAGCCATAGTTCCCACAATGTTTTTTTGTCATATCACAACTATGGTAATTTATAAGATTGTTGCCATGGCAATCACAATTGTTAACATTTGGATACAAATCAGAGTACCTACATACCAAGTATCAAAGCAATTAAGTTGCCAGTTTTTAAGCAGAATTTGAAAATGACATTTTTACCAAAAATGACAAAAAAATGTGTTAATTCAAATAAAGCTTAGAAAGAACAATTACGTGCTGAGAGTATTGGAGGCATTTATAAAATTAATTTATAATTATTTTCTGAGATATCAGTAATTGGCTAATAAAAAGTAGATAATTGATATGCATGGTTTTCAATCAGTATGCTTGAATTGCTAACCAAAATAATTACCACATCAAGGAGACAAATCTGCATATACCCCTCAGTTGCAGTTAATAATAGTGTAGTGTAATATGATTATGATGACTGTACACTACAGTTGATCATATTAATTTCATACAAGACACACAATAGACCATTTTCCGTTCACTGCGAGTTCCTGCATTATGCGTGAAATCGAACGTAAAAGTAACGTAACGTAAAGTATTTTTGGGGATATTTCCATGCTTAATAATGTGCTGTACACATTTGATGATGGTCAATTTTGATGAAGTAAGGGTATTCAGACTCAATATCCCCTGTCAAGATCGATGTGAGATACAAAATAAATAAATTTGAGTTGAAAATCAAATCGCTCGATCTTTGCGACAGACGTTCACCACGCATCTTTCATGCAACTCGCGAGATCTCACAGTTGAACCGAAAATCGCCTATTCAGACAAGCCTTGCATTCTCATTCAATGTATTTCTTTGTATATATCCTCTCACAAGGTTCATAAAAATGACTGGCAGGAATATGAATACAAGGTAAATTAGTGGAAGGAGCCTTCAAGAATACTAAAGTACTATATGCAGCGATATATTTAGTTCATACCTTTTCCATGGCAACCGCATTTTCCTCTTGTAGCAGTCAAAAATCCACTTTTCAGATACTATCTTTCCTCCCTTTTTCTTCACCTGGTTATATTTTGGAGTATTAGCAAATGCACATCTATAAAAAAAATCATATTAATATTTGGTAATTTGTACAGAAATGAATGATTTTTTTCTAACAAGGTAAAACAGATGAAAGTAGATGTAGATACTGATATTGAAATCCAAACATAACATGCATCCTATTACTTATAAAAAAGACTCATGAGCAACCAATGAGATCTTATTTTCTGAACTGTTAGCTAGAGAGATCAACAACTAATAAAAATTCATATTAACATATGGACAATGTTATATAATTTCCACTGAAATCAGCTACCAATGAGAACTCATGGACCATTTTGTAGTGAGGTGCTCCATAATTTGCCATTTTTCCAGTTGTCTTTTGTAAAATTAAAACTACATCAGTTACATTACATTACCGTACTTATCCGGGTAAAAGCCCATGCCTGGACAAACGCCCACCCCCCACTTTTGACACAATAAAGAAGTTGAGGTCATATCCGGGGCACACGCCCAGGGGGTCTTTTTCTACATAAAACAAGAAACAAAAAAACTATTTTCTATTTGTTGACTGTGGTTGTATTAACAGTTGACTTTCTTGAAGTCTGTCGTGATACTTATAAAAAATGTTAATTGCGTAAAACAAGGGGTGAACGCAAAATAGCATCTTTTATCACCGCTATTGCATTTCTGTCATGAAAACTATTCTTCTGTCGTTGGATAAAAAAAAACTTCCTATTTCAAGTACACCGCGATATCCATATAGTGAGACATTCCAACCGCCAGAATTTGCTGAATGATAACTTTCACCGTGATGAATAAGCGTCGAGTCTGTTAAGAAAGCAATGTCACGATTTGACTTTTATGATGAAATACTAGTAGTGATGTCATTATTAGCCAATCAGTAAAGCAGATGCATAAAGGTCAAAGATGATTGCTAGACTGTAAACAAAAGCATCGTGTGCCATCGCAGCAGAGTGACCCCATTTTTCTTGTCTCTTTATTATGATTAGACATGAATGAAAAGTGCCAGGCTGACAGACTGCGAAATCCGTGGATTAAAAGTGCTAAGTCCAAATTGTGTGGGACGGTATCGACGAACTTCAGGAATAAGTTGTAGGGATTTTGTTCGACGGCTACAGTGACGTCGACTTGGACATTTGAGGGTTTTAAGTTTGACGAAGATGGCAATGAAC